CTACCCACCTGGAACTGTCCTGGACTACACTCTAAACCCCAAAGTCCGGAACTTCGGGCATGGCAGGGCAGCAGGACACTGCCGGAACAGTAGACCCGACCCAGAGTAGGAAAAGATGCCACGCCGAATACTCATAGTGCAAATCTTGTAATGCAGTACATAATGAGGAACCTCTTATCTCTATTGTGGGTTCATGGACTCTTTTTACTACAGGGCTTTATGGAGGGTAATTGAAAGCGGCCATCATATAGATAACCTGGCTTGTGCGGAAAACAGGTGGGACAAGCTGTTTTTGTTGAGCCATTTGTTCGGGGCTTCTCGCTCGCCTAGGCTGCGACAATGCTTTTTCCGATGTACACAGTTGCGGCGGAGGCGCACACGGTTTAGTGGTGAGGGCTGGCATGCAGCAAGACTTCCCTAGAAAATCCTCCTTGGAGCCCTTCACCCTAAACCCCTGCTCAGCACTGAACTCTACAGTTTCCTAGAGATTCCACCCCACCTGCAACTAGGATGGAAGCCGAAAAGGGCCTACGAAGATTGCCAGGGTCCTTCATGGTTTCCATGAAGCCAGTACAGCTGACACATTGCTCCCTAGAGGGCTTAGGGTTTAGTTCCCAAACCACTAGAAGACTCATAAACCCTGGACTCGCAACAACCTGGTAGTTTCCGTGTGCCGCGTGCCACTCCCGCTAAACCCATCTAAGCCCTGAACGCTGAACCCTGAATGGCAACCCTTGTAGCAGTCCCAAGCGAGGTAAATCCTCAACCCTATACAAGCCTGAAAGGCTGAAATCCTAAGCCCCAAGAGCCCCACAACAATCCATAGAACCCGTGATAAACCCTAAACCTGAAGCGGAAGGTTCTGCTGAAGATGACGGAGATCCGCCCGCATGAGGAGCTCAAGGCGAGGGCCATTTGTCTGGTAGTCGGCTTAGTGATGTAGCGTTGGTTTGGGGATTTTCCATGAGGGCTTTACCCTAAGGGTCCAAGTACCTAGTAATTATATATTACCCCAAACCTATACTATGATTACTATTACCCAAACCCCAGGTACCTAAATATTGGGTACATGGACCCTTAGGGTTAGGTGCCTGACCTAGGGGTTTCAGGGGTTCAGGGGTGGTGTTAGGGGTGTCAGACAATGCTCAGCGATCTAAGGGGAAAGGTTTTAGGGGCTTATCAGGCTTACCTAAACCCCAAAAGTATGTAAAATAATGGCCCTAAACCCATAACGATAGCCATAAAGGGCCATTATTGTACATACTTTTGGGGTACAGGTATGGACACGGGTTTTTAGGGTTCGGTTTTGGTATTTCTTGTCCCCTCCGCTTTTGGAGTCTTTGCGCGAATGGGTTTGTTTGCTTGCATGTTATGAGCATGGGGTCACCGAGTACAAGCGCCGGGGGATTGCCCCAAGGGCCCATGTACCGAATGATTGGATACTTGGCATTTGGGTAGCAGCACTTATAGTACAGGCTTTTGGTAACTATATGATTATTGGGCACTTGACATGTAGCGTTGTGCATTCTTTCGCAATTTGGTTGTAGGGCTTTGTCAGGCTCCGACCAAGTCTCTGCCAACAGAAAGGTGGAATGAGTGTAGCCCGGGTTTAAAAACCTGAGAAATCCTACTGCATCGCTGTACCCTCTTGCCCGCCAAGAAATCTAACCTGTGGCGACAGGGCTCTAGGCGTAACATGGGTACCTACAAGCATCAAGTAAATGTAACAGGGACCCTGGAAGCAGGAGCCCCGGTTTTTGGAACACTCGTATTGCTGAGGTCCGCTTAGGCTTCAACTCTCTGTGCAGGCTTTTCCAGGGTGATGAAGTTGTCGGACAAGATGTCACAAAGGTTTTGTATCTTTCATGGACTTACTCGAAAGACCGCAGGGCGCATATGAAAAAAATGCAACTCCTGGTCTCCAGGTGTCAAACTGAGCCCTAAACCCCCAATTGCGCAACCCTAAACCCTAAACCCTATCACCCCCAAACCCTAAACCCTATCACCCCTAAACCCTAAACCCTATCACCCCAAACCCGGGGTACTGTTTTCAGCTCTTTACCTCCCCGGCTCATAGGTAGGCTCAGATTTCCTTCTGGAATAGGAGTTTGGGCAGGGTATAGGGTCTAGGGTAAATTTCATGGTGCTCTGAGACTTGGTAAGGCATAAGCAAGTTGCACAGATGATTGCTTTTTCCTGGACGTGCGCAGTTTCTGGACCTTTAAGATAAAGACCTGCTATTCCAAGAGTCATGTATGCATCGATGTCTTGCGAAGAAATGGTGTATACTGTTTGTAGCAGAACTTGTGGAGTAGCCCTCAATCAAGAATTCTGCCAAATTGTGTTTGTAAGAAAGGTGCTGCCCAGTCATCCTTCCATATGTGGTGCAAGGGCCCGTAGTGACACCAGGTTGACCCCTGCTGCCTTGAAGGCTTTGGGCGACCTCACCATCTTCGATACAACCAGAGGGAAAACAATTTTTGTTTCACATCAGTGGGTTGCCAAGCAACATCCTGATCCCGATTTCAAGCAAATGAGCATTTTGCAGAATGTTCTACGACATCTCATGACACACTCAGGCTTTGTGCCTCTGGACACCGTAACGGAAGCATTTGTGCTCCGAGCCAAGCCCCTTCCGATGCACGTTTTCCAGTCTAGTCCCTTATTCATCTGGTACGATTATTTTTCATGCCCACAACTTGAGATTCGTGATGTCCGCACCATGGACGGCTCGGACGGCAGCCAGCAGGGCAATTGCATCAACAGCATTCCTGCCTACGTGGACCACTGTACATTTTTTCTTGCCCTGTGCCCTGTCGTTGACAGTCCAACGGCAGACAAAGTCTTCAGTGCCAGAACATGGAGCTGTCGCGGTTGGTGCAGAATGGAAAGAGCCGCACGCGAATTGTCTGTGCACGACACCTGGATCCTGGTTCAAGGTTCTACGTTCATTGAGCTGGTCGGCACTGCTTTGTCATTTCCCACCGATTCTGTTGGGGAGGGCGAGTTCACTGTAGCAGCCGATCGAGATAAACTCGCGCCGATACTGCAACAGCTGTTGCGGAGAAAGCTGCGGTTGTGCTTGCAGAAGCGGGACTTACCTGCGTACCGCCGCCTGCTAAACCTACAAACAGTGCACTTGCGGGGGCTGGCGGCTGAGCCTATACAGGACCTCGTGCCCAGCTTTCCTGCAAGTGCTATGAGTGACCGCAGCACGGCAGCGGAATCTTTCCTCCACCAGAACATGCTGACCACAGTCAGCGGCGCTGACAATGCAGGGTGGCGGCCGCTGCACTACGCAGCACTCTCTGGAAGCGTGGACGTGGTGGAAGGGCTGCTTCGGCTTCGGGCCAATCCAAACCAGCGAACCGCGAAAGATGTGCCACAACTGGGATTGCCCCTTTGGATGTCGCCACTGGAACTGGCAGTATTTTATAAACACAATGAGGCAGCACAGCTGCTCCTCGCGGCTAGGGCCCGCATGGAGGGCGGTATTGCGCCGGCCTTGCAGTGGGCAAGCAATGCGAACAACGCAGTGGGCGCACGGCTACTCTGCTGTGCTGGCAGCTCGCCCCTGGCGAGCAACCTGCTTGGGCCGAATGCGTTGGACTGCGCAGCCTCTTATGGAAGTATGGCAGCGCTGGAGGAACTGCTGACACACTGCCGCTCAAACACGTTGGATCTATCGAAGGCACTCTGGAATGCTATGGGCATTCGTGGTGGTTCGGCCGAGATGGTGCAGCGACTGGTGGACCTGAGAGCGGACGTCAATTTCCAGTTCGACCCCCGACGCGATGCGACCCTGTTGGGCCGGACAATCTTCCGAGCGCAGGCCCTGAAGCACCGATTCGGCACGAAAACCATCAATTCAGCATCAGGTTATCAGATCCCGGGAAGCACGGCGCTGATGAGGGCATTGATGTCGGCTCAGTACGAGGGCGCCGCAGCCTTGCTTGCTGCCGGCGCACGGCTAGACATCTGCAACTGCAGAGGCTGGAGGGCAGCTGATTTTGTGAAGGGACTGTCAATCCCCAGCTTTTTGCAACAAGGTTTGGAGGGAGATCCGTCGGAATGTAAGCGGGTGGCATGCCTCGCCCGCTCTGACGCTGATGTTTTTCAAGTCTAATTTTTTCAATCGGAGCTCTGGCTAGGTGCGGCTAGGTGTGCGTCAAACAGATTCTCCAGGCGCTGGCTGACATGCTCGTTGCAGCATCCTTATTCACACATTTGTTATTTTTCGTGGTACCGTGGTACGGTGCATGGGGCAAATTCCTTGGGCATGGAGAAGACAGGTATGAAAGGTCGTGCACATTTCCTCCTTCAACGCAGCCTGAAGCACTGCGAGTTCTGGACAGTTAAGACCTGCAACTGTGAAGCATATAGAGTAGAACGCTGGCGAAGGCAAGCGCGAAACCCATCAGTACAGTTGAATTTTGGGGGGATTGTGCTAACGTTCACTAACCTGACTTTTCAGAATGTTATCCTGCGAAAGCCTTCACTCTTGGCATATCCCCAACCTTGGTGCCATCATTCTGCCTAGGTTTCTCCAGCCCCAAAGCTCCACGAACTCCTTTTGAACAGGCCCAGGTATTGGACTTTAGGATCATTGCCTCTTTTACCTGTTCTGTTACCTGGACTCATCCATACGATCATGACCCAATCGTGCTGCATAAGCTCTTTAACCTCAATCTTAGGCATCGTAATCTTCTAGCATATCTGAGGTCATACAGGTGTCCTTCCATTGACTGCACTGTAGTCGCCCTCTGGCTCAGAGAACAAGTGGGTGAGGGGCAGGTTACGCAAGGCATTTTCATGTAGGAGGCTTTCAGTGTTTGGCGATTGATGGATTTGAAGTTTGTTGTTGTTTTTTGGCTTCCGGGCTTAAATGCATGGATTTTAGGGTTTATCTTGCTTCTTGCCGGCCATGTCTCGTTGCCTGCCCCGCAGCTCCGCCGCTCAAGCGGAGCTTGATGCCAGCCCTTTGTTTGATGCCGCTGGCGTCGCTTGAGAAGTGCTTGAAGACAATTTCTCATAGACCCCATACCAATTCTTGGCCCATAAACCTCCAAATCCCAAAGGCCCTACATTCAGTCCGTTTCAACTTAGTAACTTACATGTCCAAGTGAGTCCGGAATTTCGGAAACAGCCTAGCAGAAAGTCCGGAGCTTCCGAGATGGCCCATATAACAGGACAACTCAATTCCGCAACTGTACCACCCGAAAACTGCTGGCAGCATTATTGATGAGTTTAAATCTATCAACGCATAGGATCTTTGATCTACATCTTCGGTTCCTGGGGCAGTAAACCATGAAATGGGTAACTTTGCTTCTAAGGAAAAACAACCAGGACCCTCCTTGTACCCTTAATTAGGGGTATATGGTCCCTGATAGTGGGTATTTAGGGGTATATAGAGGGTAGATGGAGGGAACAACAAGTGGCATAAGATGTTGTTGGGCCGCTTGTGCGGGGCGGCTTGCCCCAGGCTGCGCCGATGCTTTTCCCAATGTACACAGTTGCCGCGGAGGCACGCGCGCGGTTGAGGGTCGAGGGTTTTGGGGTTGAGGAAGTGTGAGCCCCTAAACCTCCGGAGCTCTAATCTAAGCTTTTGCATCCCTGATCCTAAACCCTTGCAGCTTTGCTGTTCCGCGCGAACATCCGAGGGAACTACCGACACTACCATGTACAGAGGGCCTGTATGGTTTCCATGCTAGTCTAGCGGAGTGTAAGTCAGGGAATAAAAGTATGGACCCATGTATCTATAAAGTTCCCTGTGCTACTTTCTATAGCTATTATAGCCCATGCCTCCAACGAGCATTAGACTGCCAGCCCTACAAAAGCTCACGTTTGTTTCCATTTTCTTTGCCACTACACCAAACCCTTAACAGGAAAACTGCGCTTGTAACAGTCCCTTCAACCCAGTGAGGTAAACCCCAACCACCCCAAGACGCTATGTCAGCCCCATTGCCACATGTGGTAGTTTCCATACCAACGGGGACTCCAAAATTGACCCCAATGTGCCACAATCCTTTGTATGGGGACCCTCTCAAAGGGACACCTTGCTTTGGGCAACCGGCATGTAGTTCCTGGAACCCGTGATGTCCAACGGAAGGTTCTGCTGGAGATGACGGAGATCCGTCCACATGAGGAGCTCAAGGCCAGGGCCTTCCCTGCCCCCTGGTAAGCCCCCGCCCAGAGGGGTTGCACAGGGCTATTTACACGGGGTATCTCAGGGAATCAGGAAAGAAAATGCTGTATAACTTAGCGTTTAGTAGCGTAGACCAATGTAAGCATCGGTACCATGAAGGAGGTGGTAGTAACAAAGTTCCCCTGGCCAGAAAAATTCTTCAGATTTAGGATACTCCATTCTGATTGCGAACCTATGGTTTGCTGGATGTAGCCTGTGCGCATATTGGGCGTTCGGGGGATGGTTTTTTTATAAATCGGTGATAGTAAAGTTCGTCCGTAATATTCATTGTGCACAACTGAAATCAATTTACAATCCTTTCCTGCTCTTCCTTCCCCTGCTCCTGCTCTTCCTTTCTTCCTCCGATTACCACTATAATGGTAGTACTACTTGCACTACCATACCTAGGATGGCCCATCTGAGCGAGCTCAGGTACAGAGTGTTTGTTTACTGTTCCCCCATTTTCCAGACCTTTGCTTTGAGATGGTTCCGCCTGGAACCCTCTGGGGAGGTTTTAGCGATGCTCATGGTGGTGTTATGTTGAAGGGCATGTAATGGGGGGCGAATGCTCGGTTTGTGGTATGTATAGGGTGGGTTTACCAGGTTTTTTATTTATCGGATGGTTGCGGACGCGCCACAGGGATTTTAGGAGCTAAAGGGTTTGGTTTAGGGGTGTAGGGGCTTGCTTTAGTAAGGAGATTCAGAAGCTCAGGGAAGTAAGGGCTTTCAGGGTTTGGTCTATGCGTACTGTGCCACGACCTTGGGGCAGCAAAAAACAAGGCTTCCAGGAGTTGCGCGTTAATCGAATGCAATAAGTAGGCTTTCTATAGATGCATGACCCAAGGAGTATGCCTTATGTTTCTTCCCAGCTGGCCAGCCGCAGCAGGAAAAGTGCTGTTAGGCTGTCAAACGTTCTTTCACATGAGTCTCCTGACGTGCTGTAGGTCCGGGGCGACCTCGTCATTTTCGACATCGACAAAGGGAACGCTCTTTTTGTTTCACATCAGTGGGTTGCTGAGCAACACCCAGATCCCGAATTCAGGCAGATGAGCATTTTGCAGAATGCTTTACGACATCTCATGACAAGCTCAAGCTTTGTGCCCCTGGACCAGATAACAGAGTCACTCGTGCTCCGGGCTAAGCCCCTTTCGATGCGCGTGTTTCAGTCTAGCCCCTTATTCATCTGGTACGATTATTTTTCATGCCCGCAGCTGGAGATTCGTGACGTTCGCACCATGGACTGCTCGGACGGCAGCCAGCAGGACGACTGCATCAACAGCATTGCAGCCTATGTGGAGACGTGTCGGTTTTTTCTTGCCCTTTGTCCCGTTATTGACAGTCCCACGGAAGACAAAGTCTTCAGTGCCAGAACATGGAGCTGTCGCGGTTGGTGCAGAATGGAAAGAGCCGCGCGAGAATTGTCCATGCACGACACCTGGATCCTGGTTCAAAGTTCCGCGTCCATCGAGCTGGTCGGCACGGCTATGTCTTTTCCCAGCGCCTCTGTTGGGGAGGGCGAGTTCACTGTAGCAGCTGATCGAGACAAACTTGCGCCATTAGTGCAGCAACTGTTGAAGAGAAAGCTGCTGTTGTGCCTGCAGAAGCGGGAGCTACCTGCATACCGCCGTTTGCTAAACCTACAAGCAGTGCACCTGCGGGGGTTGGCGGCCGAGCCCATACGAGATCTCGTGCCTGGATTTCCTGCACGTGCTATGGGTGGCCACAGCGCGGCAGCGGAATCCTTCCTCCACCAGAACATGCTGACGACGGTGAGCGGTGCTGACAATGCGGGGTGGCGGCCGCTGCACTACGCAGCACTGTCTGGAAACGTGGATGTGGTAGAAGGGCTGCTTCGGCGTCGGGCCAATCCAAACCAGCGAACCTCGAAAGATGTGC